CGCGCCGCGCTCCGCCCCCCCGGCCCCAGAATCCAGCGCGACTGAATCGGATTCCCGGGGATGGACGCGTGCGACCTCACAGCTTCCTCATCAACAGTCCGTCAGCCCGAGACAAGCCTCGGGTGTCTCCCCCACCCTCCCGCGATCGTGTCAATCCGTGTATGTCGTCGTCCTCCTCCTCCCTCCCCCTCGTCCCCCCAGCTAGGTCTTTATTTCCTTCACTCACCTGGGTGCCCCTCCCCCACCGATTCTGAGGTGAAAAGGAAGGTCCCCTCCTCGATTCTGCTGTCGCGAAATCCGTTCATGGCGATACTAAGAAGCTGAAAAAAGGGGGGAAGGCAACAAAAACGAAACACGGACACAAGAACAGAAAATAGCTGAGGGAAATGCAACTACACAAACGAGCGCAGCGGACGTCCCGGAGTCCCTTTTCCCCAAAGCTGGCGCCTCAAAGGAATGAGAGCGGCAGCCGCTAAACGTGGGTATTTATAGAACTAGACCACTCCCACCTCCGTAAAACCCCGCCCCTTATTCTCCTGCTATAACCTAGGCGAGGCTAGGAAAAGAGCGCGTGAGCAGCACTATCTCGGCGTCTATCGGACCGCTTAGGCAGGATAATTGTATATTTTTTTAAAAGTCCGCTTCGCTCATTTCCGTCCCTTAGTAAATGACATTTCCCCCCAAAATTAAATAAAGGACTACGTGTGCAACTTCGATTTATATAATTATAACCTATTGTGACCAAGGCCACAAGCAATATCTCCGCTTCATCCCTGCTCCCTCCCCCGCCCGTTCATGGGGCTGACTTCGTCTAATCTCCTCAGTCTCTGTGGCCTGCGGGAGGTGCAGCGTCGCTCACAGTTTTCCCGCTTGACAGTGAAAGCGCCGCTTTTCAGAACCCTTGCTGTTTTGCTTACTTGGGAGTAAATCCCACTTAAGTAAATCATGGGACTTGTTTCTAAGAAAATCTGCCTAAATTGGGGCTGTAAGTGTAACCTCTGATATACACGGCACACGAGGGCCTTGAGAGCTTCCATTCTCTCTCTCTCTTGAGGAGGAGGGAGCCGTGTGGTCCTTCGTGATGCCTTGAATAGCCACGACGGCCATTTTGGTTTAGTTTCATTTGGTCATAGTTCATTGACCTCCTGGAATTAAAATTTATTAGTTTAAAAAACAAAACATACCTGTACTGAAACATGGAGCTTGAGCATCATGCCCAACAATGCTCAACACGCACCAGACACACCGTGTCCTCCCCAAATTGGCAGTATGTAGTGTAGATCAGGCTGTAAAGCTACAGTCCTATGTATATGCCTGAGAGGAAGTTTCACTGAGGGCAATCCTGTGCCCACTTATTTGGGGAACAAGATTCTGAGTACTCATAGGATCAGGTTGCCTCATTGCAGTGCTTGGAAGTAAGCCCAGTGAACACAATGGGGTTTCCTTTAGAGTAAATGCAGACGATCAGGAAAGATGTATGACATTCACAATATACAGTAATGCTCCTGCTTTCATCTCTTAATGTTGGAGGTAGCTAACCCTGGACTGGGAAATTCCTGAAGATTTGGGGATGAAGCCTGGTGAGGATGAGAGAGGGGCCTCAACAGGTATAATGCCATAGAGTCCCTTCCCTGTGGATCTCTTTAGTCTGGAGATCAGTTATGATTCTGGGAGATCTGAGACCCCAGCTGGAGGTTGGCAATCCTAGTTAGAGGGCACAGTACCGTTATTTGGACTAATTACTAGAAACAAACAAACCATTGTTGCTGTTAGGAGGGCACAGTAATTGTTACACTAAAATTTCTTTCAGATTTTGTTTTGGGATAGCAATATATTGATTCTATGACAATTTTTCTCATTGTTCTTCTATGTGTCTATTATGTATGATTTTTTTTTAGTTTTTGTATCATGTTAGGATTTTATCTTGCAAGCCAGCATTAAAAGCTATGGTTGCCTGAAAAGAGGGATACAGACATAAGAAAGTTCTGTTCTGCAGCCTAATCCTGTGATCTTTCTGGAATTGCCGCTGTAATGCTGCTGTTTGCCCCCAAACTCTGATAACATTAAAAGGATAAAGTCAAAAACAAATTCTAACCTCCAAGTGGGGTCTGGAGATCTCCCAGAATTAGATTTTCCTGTATCATTTGTAATTGTCATTAAAAAAAAATGCTGTGAACTGCTTAGGAAGCCAATTTTGACTGAAATGTAGGAATAAAATATAATAAACAGATGCCTGACAATATTTAATCAATTCTTTCCTCACTCTTTATCCTTGGATCATTGTAAGGAAGGAATGGCAGGCTTCCCATTTTGAGGCTCTGTTGGCCTGGACACTGCAGCTCAGTGGTTGTGAGGCTGTGGTCAGATCAGTAGAATCATAGAATCATTGACTTGGAAGGGACCTCCAGGGTTATCTAGCCCAACCCCCTACACAATGCAGGAAATTCACAAATACCTTCCCCTCCCCCATGACCCCTGTTCCATGACCAGAAGATGACAACCTCCAGGATTCCTGGCCAAACTGGCCTGGAGAAAAATTGCTTCCTGACCCCAAAGTGGCAATCAGCTTTTCCCTGGGCATGTAAGAAAGGGCCGCAAGAACTAAGCACTGATGCAAATCTTCCTGCACTCCCTCTCATGATCTACCTAAATTAATCTTGTCATTCCCCATGGCAATATTTAATTTATTCTTTCCTCACTTGGATCATTGCAAGGAAGGAATGGCAGACTTCCCATTTTGAGGCTCTGTTGGCCTGGACACTGTAGCCCAACGACTGTGGGACTATGGTCAGAACTAGAAGACAAGATTCCCAAAATGGTTAATCCTGTCATTTCCCCTTCTCAGGTATCAAACATCTTTCCAAAGTTAGAATTTGTGATAAAATAAAAAGGGGCATTTTTTATTAGCAGTGGAAACCATCGGGCCATTTATACAAGGAATCACTGCTGCCCACTGAAACAGAAACATAGATCTGGAAGGGATCTCAAGGGTCATCTAGTCCAACCCCCTGCACAATACAGGAAATTTACACCTACCTCCCCCACCCCCAGTGATCCCTGCTGTATGCCCAGAGGAAGGCAAAAAACCTCCAGGACCCCTGGGCCAGTCTGGCCTGGAGAAAAATTCCTTCCTGTGATTGGCATTGCCCTGGACACATATAAAATGGCCATAAGAGCCAAGCACTGACTCATCCCTTCCTGCCTAAATTCACAGAATCAACATTGCTGTCAGATGGCCATCTAGCCTCTCTGCTTACAAACCTCCAATGATGGAGAGCCCACCACCTTCCAAGGAAGCCTGTTCCACTGAGGAATCACTCCAACTGTTAGAAGTTCTTCCTAATGTTTAGCTGAAACCTCTTTTAGCTTAATTTCAATTCATTGGTTCTGGTCCGACCTTTTGGGACAACAGAAAACAACTCTGCTCCATCCTCCATATGATGGCCCTTCAGTTACTTGAAGATGGCTATTATATCATCTCTCAGTCTTTCCTCTTCAGGCTAAACATACACAGCTCCTTCAGCCTTTCCTTGTAGGAGCTGGTCTCCACACCCCTCACCGTCTTCATTGACTTCCTCTGGACATGTTCCAACTTGTCAACATCCTTCTTAAAATGTGATGCCCAAAACTGAACACAGTACTCCAAGTGAGGTCTAACCAGAGCAGAGTAAAGTGATAGTATCACTTTGCATGATTTGGACAGTATACTTCTGTTGATGCAGCCCAAAATTACATTTGTCTTTTTAACCACTACATCAGACTGCTGCCTCATGTTCAGTGTATGGTTTACTCCTGACCCTTAGATCTTTTCTGCATGTACTATTGCCAAGAAAAGTCTCCCCCATCCTATAATTATGCATTTATCGACTTGATGGAAATTCATTTTGTTAGTTTTAGCCCAGTTTTCCAGCCTGTCAAGATCATCCTGTACTTGATTTGCTACCCCTCCCAATTTACTATCATCTGCAATGAGTATCTCCTCTAAAGAGTGTAACCATGTGGTCTATGTATATAACATTTCAGAGATCCAAGCTAAAAAGTGATTGGCCCAAAGTTACCAAGTGAGCTTCATGGGTGAGCTGGGATCTGAGTCCTAGTACACCAATCCAACCACTGCACTCTCATTATACAGTTCCTTGTTTTCTTTTAAAAGCATAAGGAATAACAATAATCAAGTGGAGAATCACTTGTGGCTAAAGGTAAAGGTTCCCTTGCTCGAAAGCCGTTCGAATCCTACTCTAGGGTTGCAGTGCTCATCTCCGTTTCCAAGCCGAAGAGCCAGCGCTGTCCAAAGACGTTTCCATGGTCATGTGGCCGGCATGACTAAACACCAAGGCGCAAGGAACGCTGTTACCTTCCCACCGAAGTGGTACCTATTTATCTACTTGCAATTTCTTGCTTTCAAACTGCTAGGTTGGCAGGAGCTGGAACTAGAGATGGGAGCTCACTCCATCATGCGGCACCCAGGTCTCGAACTGCTGAACTACTGACCTTCCACAGCCTGCAGTTCAGCGTCTTATCCACTTGAGCCACCGCAGCTCCATGTGGCTACCAGTTCCCAAAATAGATATTGGAGATTATGTTGTCCTATCCCTTTTCATATGTTTCCTATACCACACCAAATTCTTCACCATACAGCTTCAGCAAAAACTCAATAACTCAGTTTAATTTCAAAGCATGCATGAAAAACAGAAACGTCCCCATAATTCATTGCGTATCACTGCTGGCATTGGTGTATTTAATTGGAAATCACCTATCTTACAACTTAATGTCTACTTTATAATACAATATTTAATTAATGCAAAATATTTCATGTCAACACTTGTTCCCCAGTCAAGGTTCTGCCAATAAGTCACCAGGGGCTATGAAAATTCAGGCCACAGAACAAAATCAGGCTTATGCATCATGAAGATTTCACCTGCTGAATTTTTACATGTCTTCCAGCTGCTAAAGCTACCAGAAAGACCAAGTTGTTAATCCTATTGGGCAGATGGGGATAAGGGGAAAGAATGCTAAGAAACAGAAAATGTACTCGGGAATCAGAGTCAAGTAACGGTGTTCAGTTGCCCACCAGTTTCTCATGAACACATGAAGTTATGTTATACTGAGTCAGACCATTTATCCATCAAGGTCAGTATTGCCTACTCAGAGTGGCAGCGATCTCCAGGGTCTCAGGCAAAGGTCATTCACATCACTTACTATCATATCCTTTAACTAGAGATAATTCACCTGTGACCTTCTGTATTCCAAGCAGTTGCTCTGCCACTCAGCTACGGCCCCTCCCTTCATGACCTGCTCACAAGCTGTGGTCATCAGAGTCAAATACTTCATGCACTGTTTGTGTCAGAACTTAAGTGGGGTCCCTCTGTCCCTTATGGCAGCATCGTTCAATGTTACTTAATGCCTTCCCTGCTGCTGGATCCAGATAAATTTCCATAT